TAAAACCAGAACTTAAACCAGGACTAAACCAAGACAAAAAAAACAGGACTAAACCAGGACTAAACCAGGACTAAAACCAGGACTAAACCAGGACTAAACCAGGACTAAACCAAACCAGGACTAAACCAGGACTAAAACCAGGACTAAACCAGGACTAAACCAAGACAAAAAAAAAACAGGACTAAACCAGGACTAAAACCAGGAACTAAACCAGGACTAAACCAAGACCAAAAAAAAACCAGGACTAAACCAAGACTAAACCAAGACTAAACCAGGACTAAAACCAGGTCTAAAACCAGGACTAAACCAGGAACTAAACCAGGACTAAAACCAGGACTAAAAACCAGACCTAAACCAGGACTAAACCAAGACAAAAAAACAGGACTAAACCAGGACTAAACCAAGACTAAACCAAGACTAAACCAGGACTAAACCAGGACTAAAACCAGGACTAAACCAGGACTAAACCAAGACTAAACCAGGACTAAACCAGGACTAAACCAGAACTAAACCAGGACTAAACCAAGACAAAAAAACAAGACTAAACCAGGACTAAACCAAGACTAAACCAGGACGAAAACCAGGACTAAAACCAGGACTAAACCAGGACTAAACCAAGACTAAACCAGGACTAAAACCAGGACTAAACCAGAACTAAACCAGGACTAAACCAAGACAAAAAAACAGGACTAAACCAGGACTAAACCAAGACTAAACCAGAACTAAACCAGGACTAAACCAAGACAAAAAAACAAGACTAAACCAGGACTAAACCAAGACTAAACCAGGACTAAAACCAGGACTAAACCAGAACTAAACCAGGACTAAACCAAGACAAAAAAAAAAAAAAAAACAGGACTAAACCAGGACTGAAACCAGATCTAAAACCAGAACTAAACCAAGACAAAAAAACCAGGACTAAACCAGGACTAAAACAAGGACTAAAACCAGGACTAAACCAGAACTAAACCAGGACTAAACTAAGACAAAAAAAAAAAAAAAAAAAAAAAACAGGACTAAATCAGGACTAAACCAGGACTAAAACCAGGACAATATCAAGTAATCCAAAGTATTCAGATTACGTTACTCACTTTAAGTAATTTAATGGACTCTGTTACAAACTACATTCTGGGGTCTGTAATCTGTAATCTGTAGTGGATTACATTTTTAAAGTAACCTTCCCAACACTGTTAACACTGTGGATATTTAGGCTGAGTTCTTCTCTCAAACTGAAAACACTTTCTTGCACCTTGTGATGTCATGTGGTAATACAGAAAGCTCCACTGTGTTTTTAAACTCCATACACCTTCACTAGAATCATTTGGACAATTTCAGCCCTGGAATTGCCAATCTCTAGTAAACAGATTACAACAATTACAGAAAAAATCATGATCACAATTATTTTGGTCAATACTGAAATCACGATTATTCAAATTATTATTTTTTAGTTACGCGATGCATTTATTCAGCATTTCTCTCAAAAAAACAAAGACAAACACAAAAAACGTATTATTGATCATTTAAACCAAGTAGTTTAGAGCAGTTTTGCAATGTATAAAACATAAATAGAATAAAATATATAGTCCAATGATGTTCACTTGCTCTTCTGATAATTTATGTTTTTAGGTTATTTTTTCAGACCAAGAGTTTGTTTTCATACATGACAGTTTCGACTTCGGTCTTCCTCAGAGTTACGTGATGTTGCTGTGACGTGTTGTTCAGCTGATTTAAACAGGTTTTGGTGCTGTCTTCCTACCGGTGGAGGCAGGACGACAGCGCCATCTGCAGTGAGGGCAATGAGAAAACATAATATCAACTGTACAGAAAACTCAGGCAATCACTCGTCCACCCGAAAGACAAAACAGAACCGGAGCATAAATGTAATGCCAGATACAAAATACCCTGCATGTCCTGAAATAAAACATACATTGGGGAAAAAGGGAGGGCGCTCAGTCCACGAAAAAAAAAAAAAAAACATAAGACAGAATGTGAGAAGGAAACTGCAAAGGCGAAACACGAGAAACAAAACACAAATCAAAACAGGAACAACTCAAATCAGTCATTTCTGAGCTCTGTAAAAGAGAAAACAACATTCTGGACTGGCACAGAGGAAAACAAACACCGTCTCTAGATTAAAGAGGCAATCGAAATCGGAAACGTGCCCAAGGGACGATAAACTAGGACGAGGGGGCTTTTTTACTCTCACACACCCGGGATACTGTCCTGAGGAGGTCGGACTGCAGGTGGCGCTGTCGTCCTGCCTCCACCGGTAGGAAAACAGCACCAAAACCTGTTTAAATCAGCTGAACGGACACGTCACAGCAACATCACGTGACTCTGAGGAAGACCGCAGGGAGCTGTCAAAACTGTCAGGTATGAAAACAAACTCTTGGTCTAAAAAAAGAACCTAATAACATGAATAAAATATACTTTGGACATGAAATAACAAAAAACATCCAACATAAACTAGATATCCAGCTGTTCTACATTTTAAAAATAAAACAAATATACTTATTTATATAAAAAATAAACTTTGTTAGGCTTTAAATCGTTTCAACTCGATCATATGAGTTTGGAGATCGTTTGACACACAGATCAAAATTCGATTAATTGCACAGCCTTAAACAGAAGGTAAAGTGCAGCTATTAACTTGAAGACTACCACTCTATGACATCACAAGGTGGAACAGAGCATTTTGAGCTTTGTGTAAGTGTTACGCAAACATGTGTGAATGAAACAAAACACAAGTCCAGGTCTGTTTTTGATGAGGTAACAGCATTAGACCAAAGCTCACCCAAAACTCACAAAGCTTTAATAAAATATGTTGTTTTCTTAGGACGGGCTTAAATAAATAATAGCGACGTGGAGAAAAATCAGTCAGTCCACTTTGTAACTAACTTTATATATTAACTTATTCATGTACAGTCTTGCATAAGGACTTGTATTCAAAGAGACAAAGACAGAAGCGGCTTTGTCTTCATCAGGGACATCTTCTATAACAGTATAAATGGAAACTATAGAATAAATACATTGTACAAACTACTTGAATTCCTAAGTTCAAGAAAGTTATGCTTCTGAAAGATCTTATTGTGAATCATAAATACACAATTAAATGGATGGACTAATGCAGATTCGGCTGTTAATTCAGCACATATCTGCATTAACATTTAAAGGTGCACTGTGTGACTTTTCGAGTGGCGGGTCCGTCAAATGTTTTTCTCCGTGTAAATGTTTCTATCTTCACAGAGACCAAACCAGGCCAAGTTACAGATCAGATCTATGGAGAAGCGACCCCGCTCACAGTCAGAATGTCTGTTTTTTAAGGTGTTTTTTAGCTATAAAACCACCTGTGATTGAATAAATGCAGTGCTTCTCATTTATTTTCTGTCACTTCCCCCCTTGGGAGAAGAAAACATTTCACACACCCAATCCACAGAACCATTACCAAACATGGACAAATCACACCGTCGTCTTCAGTCGCTTACATACAAGAGAAAATGTTTTAGTCTCTTCTCGAAAGCGACTCCTGGGAAACACGCAGCGTCTGTCTGATCGTATTCTGCACTGTGCTCACCTAGCCTGATTCATCAGCCGGTTTCACTTTATGGAAACCATCTGACCTCGCAGCATTAGGATTCGTTCGCTTGGCTGTAAACAGGACTAAAACGGGTCTAAACCAGGACTAACCCAGAACTGAACGAGGACTCACTGTCGGGACGAGCTCGGAGGTGCATCCGTGTAGACCACAGGTGTTAAACATAAGGCCCGGGGGCCAGATCCGGCCCTCCAAGACCTTTAATGTGGCCCTTGGGTGATTTTCTACTAAAATATTTTAAATGTTGAAATTGAATTTTTCTTAAAGTTTCAGGTTGTTCATGGTATTATAATATTATAATAAGAAAGAGTTCATCAATTAAAAAAGATTTCTGTAATAGATTTGTGTTTCTCTGCACAAATATTTGAACTTATTGTTATTTTTGGGGTTTATATGCCATGAGTTTTCTGATCCGGCCCCTTTGGGATCAAAGTAGGTTGGATACGGCCCCCGGACCAAAATGAGTTTGACACCCCTGGTGTAGACCGTCGGGTGACCGCAGGAGAAAGGACCGGCGCAGAGCTCCGCGCAGCACTGAGCGCAGTCATCACCCGATCGTGCTTTGTGGACACCCTACTCCACGCAGGCTCGGGGTTCTCTCTCTCTCTCTCTTTGAAGTCTAAGATCAGTCCTAGTGTAGTCCTCGTTTAATCCTGGTTTAGTCCTGATTTAGTCCTGACTTGCCAGTGTGTAATCATTACTTGCCCGCATACCCGCCGGTAAAATTCCATAACGTTAAAACCCGACCCGGTGCAGGACTCTGCTCTGTGCGTTTGCTCGGTGCAAAAAACCCAACATTATAGCACTAATACTCCCTGCGCACACTCTGACAATGAGAGCGCCACTGCCAACTACTGTAGTGGATGTGCAATTACACTTTATTTTAGTACGGCAAAAAAAAAAAAAAAAAAAAAAAAAAAAAGCATGTTCAGTGAGGTCACACCCCCTGGCATCGCATCACTATTTGAAAAGGACTGAATAAATGGAAGGTAGAGCTGTTTAATGCCATACTGTGGAACATTCCAGGCAGAGCAATGACGTATCCATAGAAACAAACAGGAGACGGACCCACGACCAAAAAGTTATATGCACTGTCACAAGCCCAGTTAGACAGAGGACAGAATCAACTCATTTTCACTAGTGCAGAAGTGCAGAAATTTCGCCTTGCTGTTTATTCAATCCATTTCTGTATTAACATTTAAACTCAGCATAATTTGGCAAACACATTTTCCCATTAACTATTCGCGGTGTTTATTTATCTTGTTTAAAAATCTATCAGTTTGTTTGCTTCCATAACCGAAATATTAAAGGTGATTCTCCGTGGGGCTCACCTCATTTCCAAATAACAGCTTTCTCATTAGGAGTAATTCACAGACCTTGCAGTAATTTGGATGTTGTTTTTCAGAGCTAATTGCCGGGTCACCCACCCTGAAAATCAATCATGGCTCTGGAACTCTGGTTCTCCAATTAACAAAAAACGTGGCAGACAGAAGGTGGCACCGCCTCGACGTCAGGAGCAACAGTAAAGTAAGTTATCCAAATCCAACCTATTTAATATTTGTGATTGAATGAATTTTGGTCTGGTTTAGAAGCTCTCTATTCACAGAAGGAATCATTGTACTTTTGAGCAATAGAAACACTTGTAATGAAGAAATTAATAAATGGATAAATGATAGACGTACATATTTAATGTCATACCCACAGACTGTATATACACATGGCCACGTTCCAAATAGGAAGTGAACAAAGGGGCACTTTCGGCTCCTTCTGACCTTGGCTGCCATTGCAAAATAAGAAATTCAATTTGTCAATGTGATAGGTTTGAATGGTACTATCTGCTCTGTGCCTAGTTGCAGTGATGTGGTTCATATTGTGGTTTCATGTTAATTTCATGTTAATAAGTCAAAAACAGTAAAAAGGTTTGCAATAAATATGAATACATATTAATTTAAATAAGCCTTTAAAACAGTTAAATAGTTAAAAACAGTTACAAGTTTACTAAAATCTTCATTCTATTTTATTTTTCAGTAGCATTTCTGTAATTTTGTAGCAACAATTTTAGTCCTAACCTTTTGTCGTTTCTGGGTGCTGGGGCTGCAGGTCCATTAGATTGTAGAGCAGAAAGAAGTAGGATGGATGAATAGATGTTCAATAATATTACAGAGTTGAGTAGTGAAAGCTAGACCACCGGATAGAAGAGAGAGCAGTAAAAACCATGTGACCTCCTGTCACCCATACACCCAGTACACTGGCACCTGTGCATTTATATAGGGCTTGACTCCACCCTGCCCCCTTGTGGCCAAGCTGAATATAGGTCACCCTGTGCCCAGACAAACAGTGACCCAAATTAACCCCAGCCTAATCAAAAGAAAAATGGCTCCTACAGACATTGTAATTATATCTGTGATGGACTGCTCAGCCTGGGATCCTTTGTTTTAGTGATTTGTAATGTCTTCACCCACCGCTCTTTCTTCTCATTGTGTTAAACTTCTGCTTGAAGGAAGTGGTTCTTCTGTTTTCAGAGGTACAATACAACATTCATCAGTTACAGGCGGTACAATATCAACTGGACAAAAGTTTATTTGGTCGAATATGTTTCGCAGTTCATCCAAGCTGCTTCTTCAGTTTTGGTCAGACGCTGATGGGCACCTCCTTTGCAGGGAGGAGCTAACTACAGTGAAACTACTCTGAAACTAACAAATACCTACTGTTTGTTAGTTAGGTCTATTGAACTTGCAGTGAGTGTGGAGTCACATTAGAACACGGGTGTCAAACATAAGGCCCGGGGGCTGGATCCGGCCTTCCAAAACCTTTAATCTGGCCCTCGGCTGATTTTCTACAAAAATATTTCAGTTATATTTTCTATAAAAATATTGGTAATTTTCTGCTTCTCTTAGCACAGCAGCATCTCCAGTGTCTCTGTACGTGGCCCCTCCCACCAGAGCAGCACAAATGAAGACTTGTCTCTTTCCAAACGCTCTTAAAGGACGATCGTTTTGACTGTTGACCGTGACACCCTCATCAGAAAAATGTCCAACATGAGAAAAGTGGAGCCGAGTGCAGGATTTTACAAGAAAAATTTACTTATTCCTATTTGCATACAAGTTCATGTTAAAACATTGTGTTGAAATTGTATTTTTCTTAAAGTTTCAGGTTGTTCATAATTTTAAAATATATTGTAAAAGAAAGAGTTCATCAATTAAAAAAGATTTATGTAATAGATTTCTCTGCACAAATATTTGAACTTATTGCTATTTTTGAGGTTTATATGACATGAGTTTTCTGATCCGGCCCCTTTGGGATCAAAGTAGGTTGGATACGGCCCCCGGACCAAAATGAGTTTGACACCCCTGCTTAGAAGAATCATTCAGGGCCATAATGTAGCTTTCACACCTCTGGGCCTGACCTGGCTACAGCTATTGTTCTCTTGTTTGTTTTAGGTTTGAGGATAGAGTTTCAAATAGGAGATAGATGGTGTCTGAGTCCTCCTTTTCTGTCCAAAGATTTATTCTCTTTCTTAACAAAAGTAGCTTCTTTAACTCCCCTCTCAAACCATTCTTTTCTCTGGCTCAGATCTGTACCTCACTGTCCTCAAAGGAGTGGCCCATAGTTTTTAGGTGGAGATGTACAGAAGACTGGGGTCCTGTGTTCCTCTCTCATCTGTGTTGGTACATCCTCTTGTGAAGTGGCTGTTTTGTTTCTCCAGTGTAGCTTCACTGCAGTTTTGAATGGAGTTTTGGCATGGAATCTACTTGGACGATTAAGCGATTATACACACATCTTGGCTCCAATTGACTTACTCTGAAAAACTGTTGAAAAATTCAGGCCTTAAAATGTTCTTATTAACCAGCGCTACTTGATCCTGGGGTTTTTATTTCACCATTTTGTCCATTGATAAATTCCTATTCCTAATATCGAATTCGGCTCCAAATTCTCCCCTGTAACAGCTAGCCCCTTGAGCCTCATTTGACTGGAGCTGAATGCTGTGGGTGACCTCATGTTCACTTAGGCAAGGCAAGTTTATTTGTATAGCACAAAAGAAACAAGAAATACATTAAAATCATAATACAAACAACTCAAAACATAAATAACCATCATAAAATTATAAAGAGAGTGACATTAAATTAGAGAGAAGAGTGCGGAATGAAAAATGAAAACCTTTCAGTGAAACGCAGATAAACAGAAGTGTTTTGAGTCTGGATTTAAACAGAGTCAAAGTAAAGTCCTGTCTCACATCTTCAGAAAGACTGTTCTAGGTTTTAGCTGCATGAATCTGAAACTCCAACTCCCCATGTTTAGTCCTGACTCTGGGCACCAGCAGGAGGCCGGTCTCTGAGCTCCTCAGAGTGCGAGATGGTTCATTTGGCACTAACATATCACAGATGTACATGGAGAGACTTAGTCCACTTGTTTATGCAGTTATGGTCATAACATGGAACATTCCAAACAACACAATAACAGATTCGTGAGACAAGTTTTTCCACCAGAAAAGTTGTGCGTTGGTAGATAATTTTACTTTTCATGTTGAAGCTACTGCAATCAAGTTAAATATTGGCACTGCGCAACTTTTTTGGTGAACTGTCTGCCACCTGCTTGTCTCCATGAAGATGTTATTATTGCTTTGCCTGGAATGTTCCATGGTATGACTTTAAACATATCCATCCAGCACAGACCTGGGCATTGTTCAGCTCCTGGGTCGCATACGGCCCTTTGGTTGACTGTGACGACCCGTTTAAGCTCATTTGGAATTACAAAATAAACATATTTTATAATTTTACCTCATTCATGGACTAAAGCTGCATTGTTTTTATTTTAGAGGTGTTTTTAATGACATATTTGTAAGACAACCTCACTTTTTCATTGCTTAGTCATAACATAAACTCTTACCAGTCTGACCAGCTCGTCAAAACAAAAATATTAATAAAAAAAATAAATAAATAAATAAAATTAATATGCAAAATTGAGTTAAGAATTTTGACTCTCCACAATATTTTCTGTTTCTCATGTGGTTCCATGGAAAAAATAATCCAACATTTATTCATTATATGTGTTTCTATTGCTCAAAAATACAATAATTCCTTCTGTGAATTGGGTCGACTCTCCACAGATCTGAACTGTAATGTAGCGTAGAGCTGTAACCTGCTTGTCTCCCTTGTGATAGATAAGTTTAACTGAGACAAGCAGGTGGCGGACTCTCCACTGTGCTGTAAAAATACTTAAAGGTGCATTGTGTAACTTTTCTGGTGGAGGGTTCATAAAATGGTAAATGCTTTTCTCCATGGAGATGTTATTGCTTTGTCTGGAATGTTTCACAGTATAGCATTAACTCTTCCTATCTTCATGGTGCAATAAAATTTCCATGGAGTCAAGCAGCGTAACTAGAAATGTTACGCAGTGCGCCTTTAATCTGAAGATGTTACTATTTGCGGTACAGAAGCGAATGACTTCTATTTTTCTTTCCCATTTTAAGGAAGTCCGCTTCACCCTGGATCGATGTTCCAGTGCGATCGTCATGGAGACCGAAGGCGTGGACTCATGGGCGATGACAGAGGACCGCTCGTCGTGCGAAATCCGAGGGGTGACACCCAACAGAGACAAGTAAGATCAATAATTAAATAACAAAGCATCAGAAATCCAAAGGGAAAAGCTCTAAAGCCCTCACAAATAAAACTGAGCGCGCCAGGTCGTGTACTGTGCATTTACGATTTATGAAACCATTGTCACGCACTGTAAAAAGGAAAATCTAGCCAAGTTAAAGGTGCACTACGTGACTTTTCAGGTTGGGGGTCTGCTACCATGGAGATGCTATTGTTTTGTCTGTAATGTTCCACAATCTTGTTTTTATTGCTCAAAAATAAAAATTATGGTGAAATTGGCCTCCTGCGTGTTTCTGTGGATATTGTTTAATGCCGTACTTTGGAATAGTGAAGGTAAAGGCATCTCCATGGAGACAAGTAACTGACAGGCTCTCTGCCAGAAAAGTTACACAGTGCACCTTAATTCTTAAAATTAAGAGTTAAGAATGTTTGAGTACATTTCAATTGGTAAGAAAAATGATCTACCAATATATTTTTTGTACTTTAAAGGTGTTGTGCTGTTAAATTTAATCTTTTAAAATAATTATATGGAGTTGTATAATTGTTAGGTGTGTAACGGTACACAAACATCACATACATACTAGTTTTGAGGTCACGGTTCGGTTCAATTTTCGTAGTTTGCAAAAATGCAAAACCATTTGCTTGTTTATTTGTATGTTTATTAAACCAAGAATTTGTTTTAACACTCTACAAAAGTGAAAATAAAATAACTGCAAAGTGCTGCTTGGTAATACTAATAAGTTAAATAAAATATTCTCAAATAAGCAACAAATGTATGAAATATTATAAAAAATAAAGTCCTTGTAAACCGTAAACAAAACTTTTCAAAAATTAAAGTGCAGCACCAACAGTTACAGCATGAAGTTTTACTTAATATTCATATTTTTGGCCAGAAAAACCAACTTGTCTGCAGTAAGTGCAGATCTGCGGGTGGCGGAGATTCAGTGCCAGCGAAAGGCGAGAGTGAGGACCAGGGCATGATGACTGTAGTTTTGCAACGACGTAGTCAAGGCAGGGGGCAATTGTTGTCAAGGCGGCCACCCTAACTATAAAGCGCTGGGGGAAACACCGCCACCCCAATCACGGACGAGTTTCCTCGTGAATATTAAAGAGCTGATTCTTCTGTGTAGCTGCACATGTAGTGGCTGAATGTAAACACACACTAATTGCGCAAATTCACTCGTGCACAGCCCTGCACCGAACTGAATGTCCCGTACCAAAACGGTTCTACACAAACACATGTACAGTTACACCCCTAATCATTTTTTATTTTTTTTTCAACATTGTCTCCACTGTCTTGCATTTATTCATTCAACTACAAATGTTATTTATTGCTAAAAAAATATCTTTTAAAAAAAACATGCATTCTTACAGTGAATGAGGTCGCGTCTCCACAAATCTAACCTGTAATTGGGCTTACGAGTCTCCATGGAGATTCTTAAAGGTGCATTGTGTAATTTTTCTAGAGAAGAGTCTGTCATAGGTGTTTTCTCCATGGAGATATTACTGCTTTGTCAGGATTGTTTCACAGTATGGCATGTAACTTTTCTATCTTCGTGGAGACCAAACCAGACCAAGTTATATGTCAGATCTGTGGAGAGGCGACCCCGCTCACTGTGACTACGCCTGTTTTTCTAGGTGTTTTTGAGCTTGTAAACCTTTATAATTGAATAAATGTAAGGTGGAGCTGGTTAATGTCATACTGTGGAACATTCTAGGAAGAGTAAAGACGTATCTGGGGAACAAGCAGGTGATCGATAATTAAATAACAGTTTTCTGAGAGGCGCTGCACAATAACAAAGCATCTGAAATCCAAAAGGGAAAAAAAAAAATAGAGCCGACCCTGCCAGGTTGTGTACTGTGCATTTACGATTTATGAAACCATTAAAATCCTTGGGACATTTTTCTGTGGTGGTATTCAGATTATCCGAGGGCTGACTTCTGCAATGACTGTAATGATTTTTAAAAGAAAATATTCTGTCATACAACGAATTCTCCTCATTCCCCCGTGTCAGAAGTTAACCCAATCTTCATCCTCCGTGGCAGAAGAGGCCCCTCAGCTCCATCATCACATACTGTCCATACACACACTATAAGAGTAAAGCTGCTCATCTTTTCTGGGTGCAGTCGGTGCTGGCGTTAAAGGTGACATTTAATTACTGTTTAATATGAGTCACGGTGGTTCTGATTCTGTAGGTTTGGTGATTCATCTTACATGGCCCATATTACCCTGATTTGCTCTGGTTTTCTGATCTATGTTATAATGTTTTGGAGTTGTATTTTGTTTCCATCACACATGAAGATTTGGGTGTTCTCCACTCTGATTTTAATCTTCATACACCTTCATTAAAATCATTTGGATGATTTCAGCCCTGGAATTGCCATTTTTTACTGAACAAAGGATAGCTGCTAATATGAAAACTCCTGCTCCATGACATCACAAAGTGGAACAGAGCATTTTGAGCTCTGGAGACAGGCTAATAATAAAAAAATTACTCAAACATGTGTGAATAAAACATGAGGTAACAGCATTATAACATGGTTTGAAGCTCACAAGAGTCAAGTTGGCGTAATGTAGAACCTTTAAAAAACAAAAAACATCATTATAACATCATAACATAGCGTATAACATCATAACATGGCGTATAACATCATAACATGGTGTATAACATCATAACATGTTGTATAACATCATAACATCATAACATGTTGTATAACATCATAACATGTTGTATAACATCATAACATGGTGTATAACATCATAACATGTTGTATAACATCATAACATGTTGTATAACATCATAACATGCCGTATAACATCATAACATGCCGTATAACATCATAACATGGCGTATAACATCATAACATGCCGTATAACATCATAACATGGCGTATAACATCATAACATGCGTATAACATCATAACATGGCGTATAACATCATAACATGGCTTATAACATCATAACATGGTGTATAACATCATAACATGCGTATAACATCATAACATGGTGTATAACATCATAACATGTTGTATAACATCATAACATGTTGTATAACATCATAACATGTTGTATAACATCATAACATGGTGTATAACATCATAACATGTTGTAACATGTTGTATAACATCATAACATGTTGTATAACATCATAACATGCCGTATAACATCATAACATGCCGTATAACATCATAACATGGTGTATAACATCATAACATGGTGTATAACATCATAACATGTTGTATAACATCATAACATGGTGTATAACATCATAACATGGCGTATAACATCATAACATGGTGTATAACATCATAACATCGTATAACATCATAACATGTATACACATAACGTATAACATCATAACATGTGTGTAACATAACATCATAACATGTTGTATAAACATCATAACATGTTGTATAACATCATAACATGGCGTATAACATCATAACATGGTTTATAACATCATAACATGTTGTATAACATCATAACATGGCGTATAACATCATAACATGCCGTATAACATCATAACATGACTTATAACATCATAACATGCCGTATAACATCATAACATGGTGTATAACATCATAACATGGCGTATAACATCATAACATGGCGTATAACATCATAACATGGCGTATAACATCATAACATGCCGTATAACATCATAACATGGTGTATAACATCATAACATGGTATAACATCATAACATGGCGTATAACATCATAACATGGCGTATAACATCATAACATGGCGTATAACATCATAACATGGCGTATAACATCATAACATGGTGTATAACATCATAACATGTTGTATAACATCATAACATGTTGTATAACATCATAACATGCCGTATAACATCATAACATGGCGTCATATAACATAACATCATAACATGGCGTATAACATCATAACATGGCATATAACATCATAACATGGTGTATAACATCATAACATGGCGTATAACATCATAACATGGTGTATAACATCATAACATGGTGTATAACATCATAACATCGTAACATGGCTTATAACATCATAACATGGCGTATAACATCATAACATGCGTATAACATCATAACATGGTGTATAACATCATAACATGGCGTATAACATCATAACATGGCGTATAACATCATAACATGGTTTATAACATCATAACATGGCGTATAACATCATAACATGGTTTCATATAACATCATAACATGCGTTTATATAACATCATAACATGGTGTATAACATCATAACATGGTGTATACATCATACATAACAGTGTATAACATCATAACATGGTGTATAACATCATAACATGGCGTATAACATCATAACATGGCGTATAACATCATAACATGGCTTATAACATGGCTTAAAGCTCACAAGCTTAAAGATTAAACTCTGGCTAATACTTATACCATAAAGGACCATTAACTTAAATTACAACTACACAAACCCTTCACAGTAAAATACATAAATAAAAAGATACTCAAGCCACTAATTGCCTGTTCTGCTATTACATTTAACTTTATGAAATAATTATATCGCATTCTCTAATTGCAGATTACTTTTTCTAAGTTGATCTTATTCTGTTATTTTTCAATACTTAAAGGTGCAATGTGTAACTTTTCTCGAGAGGATACACAATACACTGTTAATGTTTTGATTTAAATTGTCCATAGTACAGTATTAAAATGTGTTTTGCGATTTATTCCACTACAAGTGCTATTTACTGCTCAAAAATATCTTAAAAAAATCTCAATTCTTACAGTGAATGGGGTCGCCTCTCCACAAATCTAACCTGTAATTGGGCTCGCAGGTCTCCATGGAGATTCTGAAAGGTGCATTGTGTAATTTTTCCGTCAAATGGAGATCTTATTATTGCGTTGTCTGAAATATTCTACAGGACGCTTAAACCTTTTTTAGCTTAATGGAAACCAAACCAGACCGAGTTACAGGTCAGATCTGCGGAGAGGCCTGTTTTTTAAGGTATTTTTGAGCAATAAAAC